GACCTGAATATTTTCCTTTGCGTAAACGTTTATTATGTGAATTGGGATCTTCTGGATTAATAGCAAGATATTCTGACCTTCGTTTCAATATGTCACAAACAGTATTTTCACGAACTTTAAAACTGATAGCAAGGTCTCTATTAGTTGGAGTAGATTTTGATTGTCTTAGAACACATATTTTTCTTTTATCTTTCAACGCAGTGTATTTTTCATTTTAATACGACTGTAAATCATTTTATAAAATTGTACAAAATAAAGAGAAGTTTCCCTCGATAAACCGATATTATTCGTCTTATCAAGTTATAGTTTACTATATACGGAAACATATGAAAACATCGTCTTAAACATTAAAGTGAAACAATAGGAATTTTCGTCTTATCGAGCTAATTTTATTATAAATAAATTGGTAAACTAGAAATACTTCATTATAATAAGAAATCGTTTTATCGAGTTCCGTTTTATCGAGTTCCGACTGTATGTATAACAGATAATTTGAGACGTGACAATTTTTGAAAAATATCTGTGATAATTACTAAAATAAATAATAATAATAAACGAATTTTTTTGTGGCTTTACTATTTTTGTCTGTCAAAACAATGTGTTTAATAATAGCAATAACTAGTGATTTAATGATAACGCTAGTTTTTAAAATAAAGATATAAATAACTAACAATAAGTATGTGGGTGTGTTCTCATTCTCATCCAAATTTGGCCTAAATTTTCATTTTAAAATTATAAGTTGCGTTAAAGTTTTATGATTAAAATAATAAAAACCAACCTGACCAAGGGATATTCCAAAAAGCAAATTAAAGTTTCACGGGAATGAATTTATTTCTTAAGAATCAAGATTGGACAATGACAATGGCAATTATCATTGAGGTAAAATAATTTTTTGAGGACAAATTTTTTACTTTCCTTGGGTGTTTGATTTAAAAAGAGAATCAAAAATTCTGATTGAATTTTGGTCAAATCAAATTGAATAACATTGAAACTTTCTTTATGATCCAATTAAATAAATGTCAGTTACTTTTTTTTTTTGGATATATAAGGTGTAAAGTAACATTGCTACAAATTTTACAAACGTTTGTAGAATTTGTTTAGTTTAGAATTAAGAAAATACAGGATTTAATTTTTATTATTCGTTTGAAAACTTCAAAGAGGAAGGTAGAGCCTTTGATCATAATTGGTAAAGTTTTTACTGATAAAGTTCAATAAGTAATATAGACTATTCTAGGTGTAGCAGAAGCTTTTTTATTATAAGAGGACAGGGAAAACACTATGAATCGAAAGTACATTGAAAACAAAAAGAAAGGTAACCGCGACACTATAATTCGGGTCAATAAAGAATTAAATATAAATATGAATAAGGAAAAAAATCACGCGATAGGGTTTTCCTAAACAGAAAAATCAACCAACAACTTTCGAAATATGATGAGAAGGCTCATCTATTAAGTATTATGTTGTTTATCATCAATTTTTTTATTATATACAAACATTTATATTCAATAACCACTTCTTTTCATTATTTTCGTTGATTATATGCATCCATTGAGAAAGGTGAAGAAGCTTTTCACTTTTTCCTCAAATGGGATTAAATTTATTAAATTTGTCTCTTTGTATGTATATGTGATTTTTTTATTATTCGCGTAATGATTTTTTCAATCATTAAGATTTTACTGTTAAACTTGAAATATTTCTATGTTGATGTTATGAAAAAAATGTGGGGATGGCTAGCCTATTTGTATGTTTGAATTAAATAAAATAGAATATTGTCTTGGATCCAAGATGTGATAATAATAAAATAAAAATAAAAGTCAAAAGACTTACATTGCATTCTCAGTTATAAATTTGTTAATCAAAAAAAAAACCACAGTGCCAGTCAGTAGTGATCTTTGTCAGGATAACCAAACATTAAAACCTCCGTTTGTTTGGTGAGAGTTTATCATGCGGAAAAGGTATCAAAGAATTATTTCAGAAAATAAATAAAAAGAAAAAATTTCCTTCCCAAAAAATTAAATTTAAAACCAATGATTTTTTGTTAGCTAGCTCATCTCTGATCTCTTATGCTTAAGCTTTAGCAAAGCGGTGAAGAGACTGGGTTGAAATCAAAAAAAAATATTTTAAAAAACCCTCCAAACAAAAAAGGATAACGCAGCATAGTACCGATTCTAATTTGTAATGATCATCCATCACCCATTTACAATATGGGGCGGGATTTTTATTGGCCATTCATTTCTTTTTGAAAAAAAAAAAAGATTAAAAATGAATTCAATATTTGAAAAATATTTCAATGAAAATGAGAGGTTGTTAAATACTGAAAATTTTTATGATGTAAAAATATATGTTGGTGTAGAACCAAAAATTGAAGAAGTTCATGCACATGCATCCATCATATCTGCTCATTGTCCATTTTTTAACAATGCATTAAGTGATGCAACAAAAGAAAACGGATATTATATTATTAAGAAAATTAATATCAGTGAAAAACTTTTCAAACCTATTCTCAAGTAAGCTAAATAAATTTATATTAATTTATTATTTATTATTATTGAATATAAAATAATAACCTGCTTGATAATTTATTTATTTCACAAGATTTTTATATACATGTAAAATTGAATTTGAAAATTATTCTGGTGTTGAAGTATTGGAACTATTGGCTGCAGTAGATAAGCTTGGCATTGAGTTGCTTTATGAATATACAATGAAACATTTTATTGAAAATTATGAGGATTATATAAAAAAAAAACCAGTTAAAATTCTACAATTGATTTACGAAAATGAAAATTTTAACGAATTGAAAAATATTTATTTGGAAAAGTTTTGTGAATATAGTGAAAAATTATTTGAATCAAGTGAATTTAAATCATTGGAAAAACCAATTTTATTGGAAATTCTCAAAAGAGAAGATTTTTCTGTTAATGAGATAGTTATTTGGGAAAGTATTCTTAAATGGGGATTGGCAAGGCATCCTGAAATCAATAATATCAGTGTTGAAGATTGGTCCTTACAAAATTTTGGTGATTTAGGCAACACATTAAAAGATTTTTTTTCTCTAATAAGATTTCAGGATATTTCTAAAGATGACTTTTTTGATAAAATTGAACCATATGATATGCTTTTTCCTAGGACTTTATGGAAATCCCTTCTACAATCTCATTTATATCCTGATAGACAACAAACTTTAAATTTATTACCATCAAGAATATCAAATTTGAACTCAACACTTGAATCATTGACAATCAATCAAAACCTTACTTTGCTTTTTGCAAGTTGGATTGATAGAAAAAGTCCACCATACACTTCATTCAAGGAAGTCAAATATGAATTCAAACTTCTATATCGTCGTAGTAGCAGAGATGGTTTAAATGGAGTTACATTCCATCAAAATTGTGATAATGTCAACAAAACTCTTTCAGTTGGTAAAATACAAAACTCAGAGCAAATAGTTGGTGGTTATAATCCACTAAATTGGAATAGAACAAAAGTACATAAAAATACAACTGAAAGTTTTATTTTTAATATTAGTAATAGAAATAATATCAATACTGCACAATTCAGTTATATTAATAATAATTATGAGCATGCAATTTATTGTCATCCTTCTTTTTTTTCAGCTTTTGGTTATGGTGGTTGGGATGATGCTCCTGATTTTTATTTTACTACAAGTGGCACAATTGCTAATTACTCAAATGAATCTTATGGTAACATCAATATAGTACATGGTGATAGATTTGATGAATTAGAAGTTTTTCAAATAATTGATAAAAAATAAATATAATAAATACAATTAATTATTATATATATATATATATTATTTTTTTTTTCTTTATTTATATGCTCTATCCAAATATTGTACCAGTTTTTTTTTGGGACAGGGGAGATAAACATTCCCCAACTAATAATAAAAAAAAGAGAAAAATTTTTCAAGGTCTGTATTAATCTGTTTTGTAGGAGAATATTGACTAGTATTGAGTATTTATAACTGTTTTGAGAATTTGTGTATAAAACATGACAGATTTATTCAATTGGAATATGTACCACCCAAAATTTTTAATTATTCATTTTGACTCAATAAGGGATTCAGTTAGAGATTCATACCACCTGCAGAATCCTTAATGGAATCCCCAACAAATATTTTTACAGGATTCCTTAATGTTAATTCGTGGTCCACCAATCAACGATGGAAATTTATTTAACTGGGATATTAAACTTATCATTATCATCATCATTATTACTATTACTATTATTAATAATTAGAATATTAATATTTTAAATTAAAAAAAAATTCTCGTGTTTTTTTTTAATAATAATTCATGTAAAAATTTGGTGGCGGTGACAACCCCATTTTTCTAATTAGTAAAAGTGTATATTGCATATTGTAAAAAGTTGAAAGGTAATAAATTCTGTCCAGGATATTTTTTTCAATGTGAAGAATTTTCAAATGAAATTGAAAAAAAAAATTTAAACCGATACTGTATCCAAGTTACATCAAAAGATTAACTCTAATTTGAACAAGAAGAATATCTGGAGCTGAAGCTTTAGGATTTGAAATGGATCAAGAATTGAACTAGATCTTTACCTAACGTAGGTGAATGAAAAATTTTCCACAGTGCAAATTCAAAAATTACCAAAAGTAGAAGTAACTAAAACCTCACTCACAACTTATATAAATCCTAGAATACTTCAATTCCTAAAAAATACAAAGATTTGTTAACTAATTTATTTCTTTACATTCTAAAAACAGATCAAACTAAAACATATTTTTTTACAAAATAATCGAATTTTCTTTATTTTTAATTGATAAAGTCCTAGGAAATACAGAATTTCAGGATCTATCTCCAGGAAGGTGTGTATAAACGTTTTCACAAGTATATGAGGAATTGGTTATTTTTTGTCCTAAATATACATTTCTATAAATGAGCACCTGATGCTGTTACAAATGCTTATTATATGACAAATCATCATAAAGTCATCAGATAATCGATTTGTATCATTCAGTGGCAAAAGCACACTAAGGAATTATTTATGGTAGCTCAACTGCAGAATAATCATAAGACAACCAGTTGAAGGACATCAGAAGCAAAAATATTAATCTAGAGCATTGACAAAGCAATATTCACAATTTGCGCAATGATTTAGGATGTTGGATCTTTATAGTAATGGTAGCGGTAATATTTGATTTATTGTCAAATTTAATAACATTTTTCTTTGATATGAATTAAATAAATGAACAATAAATATTTAGTAATGAAAAAAAAAATGGCCATAAAAAAATTGTGCTATATTGTTTTGTGATTTATTTTTATTGTTGCCTTCACCATTAACATATATTTATTGTTTTTTTTAATTAGGTAGATAATGCTGTTGGTATCTCAATTTCTTCTTCATTTCTATTTTCATCTGATAGATAATAGTCGATACAAGATGTTTTGTTAATTCTGGCATTCGTTAAAAAGAGTCTTCTGATAATGATGTTTTCAACAGGTCCACTTAGAGTTAATAAAAACAAGTTGTAGACAAAATGAAATGTACTATCAACAATAACAACAAATATAATGCTAGAAAAAGGGTTATTGAAGCTAAAATCACTGTTCGAATGAGAAATTTTTCCTTGACATCATTTCTATCGTTGATAATTCTTCGTAGTGTTAATATCTTTCTTATGAAAAAAGATAAAATTGAAATGAAGAAGGTTGCTGCCAATATGTACATAACAAGTGTATATTCACCAATGTATTTATAGTCTAAACTATTGATAATTGTATAAACCAAAATAGGCCTGGGATAATTATATAGTTTAGATAAAAGTTGCTGATACAAATTATCTTGCTATTCCATATAACATTTGCAATGGAGAAGATGAGTGTTATGATAATCATTAGGCCGATTTCTACTGGAAAAATTGAATGTCTCATTTCATTAACATCATCATCATCTGGGTTGGAGGCACTTTGTATCACTCCAAATATGAAAACTATTAATACATATGTAATATAAATTACATCTAATGCTCTATCCAAATAACGCTCCAGTTTTTTTGGAACAGGGGAGATAAACATGCCCCAGCAAATAGTAAAACAAAGAGAAAAAATTTTCAAGATCTGTATTTTTATCCATTTTGTGACTAGCATTGAATATTTATAACTAAACAATATAGATTATCGAGAATTTGTGTATAAAACACGACAGATTTATTATCCGTGAAATTCAAATAAGTCAATCGGAATATGTATTCCAAACCCGCCCAAAATTTTTAATTATTCATTTTGACTCATATCAGTAATGTTTTAGGCTTAAGGATTCCTTTAATTTATTATTAATAGGGTTTCTTCCCCACCCGCAGAATCCTTAATGGAATCCTAACAAAATATTTTACGGGTTTCCTTAATATTAATATTAATTTGTGGTCCGCCAATCAACGATTAAACTTATCATTATTATATTTCAAATTAAAAATCATATTTTAAATAATAAAAAAATTCTCGCGTCTTTTCTTTTTTAAAAGAAATAATAAATTATTTATTGATATGATCATTTCAGTCCAATTATTATCTTGTGGTGTTATAGATTATAAAATTCATGTAAAAAATTGATGATGACAAAATCCCAAAAGTAGATGAAAATATAATTTTTCCTAATAGTAAAAAGTATATATTGCGTATTGTAAAAGATTGCAATGATACAAAGATAATGAATTTTATCAAGGATACTTTGCCAATGTAGAGAAATTTCAAAAAAAATCAAACCGATACTGTATCTGAGTTATATAATAAGATCAACTCTAATTCAACAAAAAAAAAAGAATATATGGAACTGAGCCTTCAGAATTGAAATGGATAAAATTGTTCAAGAATTGAACTAATCTTTATCTAACAAGAATGGTCGACGAAATACTTTGTAGGATGGAGAATTATTTCGTCAAACCATTGTTAATTTGTCGCATTTGACGAAATGTGACGAAATTGACAAGAGATTGATAATAATAATAATCAATGATGTGTAGTAACCAGAAATTATTTTTTTAATGTTATGTTCACTTACAAGGAACCTTTGTCATTATGTTCACCAATAATCAAGAAACACCCTCTCCATTTCCACAGTAGATGAGATCAACTCAAGCAGGACGACCTCATTCTGATGTTTGGAAACATTTCTCAAAAATACAGGTAAAAAATTCTAACAGCAAGATATAATTATTGTATTAAATAATATAACCATGGAGAACCACAAAAATTATTAGCACATTTAACAAACCATTGTATAAGTTGTGATTCTCAAACTAGAAAAAATGTCTTGAAGGATTGAATAATAAAACAAAAGCAAATTTACAAAAAAATCTTAATGTTAGTGGACAAACTAATATTTCTTCATTCAATAAAATTACAGCTTTAACAAAAGAATGTGAAAATTCAATCAACAGATCTTTAATCAAGGCATTTGTCTGCTGCAATATTCCTTTACATATAATTGAGCTTCCCTATTTCATTGATTTTCTAAAACAATTATGACCAGCATACCAGCCTCCATCAATAAAATTATCATCACAAGGATTGTTAGATATAGAAGTTGGAATTGTTGATCAAAAAATAAATTCAATATTAGAAAAAGCTGAAATTTAACACTAAATTTTATTATAATTACTATTTTATATGGCATTTATTTGGGTCATATATTATCATTTTGCATATTCTCTCAAGCAAGCAGTGTTAAAGTCAATTTCACTTTCAGATTCTCTCCAACATTAGGAAGTTTTTTCCTACATAGGATTTACAGTCAAATCTTGTTTATTTTGGATAAATATTTTTTAGCACTTGATGGTTGGTCATCTCCTAGAAATACTTCAGTTTGGAATTTTATTATTCACACACCTACCAGAAAACAATTTTTATATCAATTGAAAGATTTTTCTTCAGAAAACCATACAGCCAACTATATTGCCAATCAAATTGAAAATGTAATTAATAATTGTAGGACCTTTCAAAAATACATTATTATTATATTTGTAATAATAAAAAAGAAATAGAATATTATGGAAACAACTTAACAGAAGAAGAAATTAGAAAGGTGGTTACAGATTTTGAAATAGATATTGATCAAGATTTTGATGAAATAAATGAAGGTGAAGATAATGATAAATATGAAGAAAATGAGGATGACAGTAATGGTGAAGATGAAGACAATGATGACAATGATGAAGACAATGTATGTTTAGCAATTAAATAAACCATCATTACAAATTAGCAATATAGATTTATATCAAGTTTTTTTGGAAGATGATACTGATCATTTTGAAAAATATTCTCCTGAATCTGGATCCAATCAAATTGATTTAACACAATGTTTAGATTATGATCCTGTTGTGCGTGAAAATGAAATTATGTGAATTTGCAATGTGAAATTCAAATTAGCCAATCGGAATTTCATATCCAAACGCCCCACCCCAAAATTTTAATTATAGATTTCAGTTTCAATTTCACATCAATCCCAAACAATGATGAAGGTAATAATAATATGTATCCTGATAACATACATCCAATTATTTATTTTATACTTATATTTTCTTCAATTATAATTATTTGTTGATTTAGAAGATGAAGTAAACAATATTTATTATGATTCACAAAATGGAGATAATGATATAAATCATGAGGATTATGAAGAAAATGATTTAGAGGTGATTGTGGAGAAAAGAATTTTGAAGAAAATGATTTTGGAGATTTAAATCTTATGTAGAAATTCAGAAAGAGAAAACCTTGATAATATTCTGAAACAACCAAAGACTAAATCTAAAAATGGATCCTATCTGAAATATAATACAGATCTCTCTAAATTATTATTATTATTAATAAAAATCACAAAATAAAAAAATAAAAAATGTTGTCTATAAAAATCCAACAAAAAAAATTAAAACAATTATTTGAAATAAATGGTAACAAGGCATGATGTAATGAACTAATAGAATATGGAAAGAAATGTTGATGATAATGATTTTTGCTGAATGAAGAAATAATTTCTATGTCGAATTTAATGAAGAAAATCAGGATGAAAGAAGACATCAAAGAGACGCCTCCTATTTCAAGTCAAGATGCTTTAAACTGTTAAAAAATGTCAAAGAAATTAAAAAAATTATAATTCAATTCAACAAAACAATCTAAATTACTGTTTTTTTTTAATATTAATATTGAATATGGTTGGCTCGGTCTAAAGACCTCCTATTTCTGCGCCATGTGGCCAAATTTCAAAAATAGCAATTTTGTAATTTGTTCAAAAATGCAATAAAAATTTTCGAAAATAGGACTTCACG